GTTTTTTCTGACTGGAAACGCGGTGCAAAACACCCGGCTTCGAGCTTTGCGACTTGTTCCGTGCCGCAGGTTTGCGTGGGGATAGCTCTGGGCTGCAGGGCACTTGTGGGTCAGTGGCTGCGAGCTGGCAGGGGTGGGGGGTCCAGGGCTCTTCAGTCTTTTGATTAGGCTGAGTCTTACACAACCTGCAGGTGAAGGCATCAGCTTTCCTAACAGCTCTTGATACTAGCAACAAACGAAACCAGTAGGTTTCTCCAGCAGAGTCAACTAGCCTGGGGTGGCTGTCCACCGCTCCTGGCCCTGAGAGCTTGGCTCCTGTCACGAAATGGGTGGCCTGTTATAAACACTTGTGCAATATTTTGTTTCTAGGATGGAAGAGGAATTGGCAGCTCCTTCCACATCCACAGACAAGACAGACAGGTGAGGTGGGAGTTGGAGTTGTCAGTTACTAAAAACCATAAAATCCCAGGACTGTTGAATGAAAACAAAAGGTTACTCTTCAAGTTGGTTGTTAGGCTTCAGCTTTAAATATGTGGGTGCTGTAGATGCTCAGCAGTAGTCTGCTCAGATCTAGTGCAGTGGAACTCTCCCAAACGCTAGTAGATACAAACACCAACTGTTGTTTAGGAAACTCTTGAACTGTGAGTGCTGGGGAGGTACAAGTATGTGACTGGTGTGTAATAGTGCTTCTCTGGGCAGCTCTTCTTGGCCTGGAAATAGTTGTGTGAGATGCACTGGATTAAAACTAAGACTTCCGTCTAGCATTCTCTCAAGTGTGTCATGCTGTGTTATGACAAGTCATAACTTGAAGTTACTCTTTTTCTGTGCTTACCTAGCATCAGAGTCTGGTGAAACACTGTACAGTACGTGGTGTTTGGTGTGCAGGTCTTAGAGTATGTTCTGTAGCATCCTTTGTCACACCAGGTTCTGATACCCGCTTCTTGTAGCAGTTAGTTAAAATTAACCTGTCTGCCCTCGGTCATCAGAACTAAAAGTTGGTCCAGCTTTAAGCAGACAGAATCAAATAATCCCCCACTCCAGTACTTCCCACCAGTATAATGTGTGCAACTCACTCCTATATGAAAGCTGGATATGAAATTACTATGGAAGCTACCAGAATCCTGTGTTTGACTTAACTTTTTTCTTTTTCTCCTCTCCAGTATGGATGTGGATGGAGAATCAAAGAAACTGTTGGGTTTAGGACAGAAGCACTTGGTAATGGGAAATATTCCGGCTGCTGTTAACGCGTTCCAGGAAGCTGCGAGCTTACTGTGAGTAGCAGAACACTTTGTATTTTTGTAGGGCTTGCTTTTCATCTTGACTGCTTCCGTGGCTTATACAAGAAAGACTTTTACCTTGCACAGGCTGCTGCATTTGTAATGGAACTGAGGAGAGGCTTAATTATCCAACTTGAGTTGGACAATACTGTAGTTGATGTGCAATTTAGACAGCTTTTGTGATAGTAATTATCAGTGCATTTCCCTAAGGAAGAACAGGGATTTGATATTTTATTTTGCAGTGGTGGTTCTGATGTCTGTTAATATAAAAATAATGGGATAGTGTTACTTGTCAGTGACTTGTTTACTGGTCTTGGTCAGTCTCGGATGGTGATACTTAGCTTGTCTCCCATTGTTTCAAACAAATAATTAATGCTCCTCTCACTTACTTGGCTTTTAAATTAGCTAAGAAACTGATTCTTCCTGTCCTGGAATTCTTAGGTTTTTGAGTTAATATATCAAAATCTCAAGTAGGCACAGGTAAATAACTCTTCATTACTTTTGTAGGGGTAAAAAATATGGTGAGACAGCGGATGAGTGTGCAGAAGCTTTCTTTTACTATGGAAAATCTCTCCTAGAGTTGGCGAGGTATGCTAACAGCTTCCCGTTTGGTAGCCTCTGCCTGGTGTGGCAGGGTTTCACCCTCTAAAAACAGGGTTGCACTGGGCGGGCTGGGCCGTGGTGTTGCAGCTTGTGCCGGTCAAGCGGTGTTATTACAAGAGCTAAGGAATGACGAGCTCTTGTTCCCTTCAGAATGGAGAACGGTGTGCTGGGCAATGCCTTAGAAGGGGTGCAGGTTGAAGAGGAAGGAGAAAAAGCTGAAGGTGATGCCGCGCAACCAACTGCTGATGGTATGTAAAGCTGTCTGCCGTGTCATGGAGGCACCAGGCTGCGTTTTCTTGTCTAAACGATCCAGGTTCAGTCCACCAGTATCTCAATAGCCGGAATTGTTGTTAACTCTTACCAGTTTGAGTGGACTTTTTTTGTTCTTCTGATCTGGCTTAAAGACTGAACAAAACCTCTACAAGGAGCTGGTTACTGAAAGCGTGTGTAAAGGGTCACCGGGTGTCTGTGTCCTGAAATGCTGCATTCAAACTTGCTTTCTTGAGCTTCACAGCCAACTTGAACTGCTTTGTAACTGTGTAGCAGTACAGTGTCTGTGGTAGGACAGGTCGGAATTACTGTACAAAGTCCAACCAAGGTAGCTATACTGCCTGCAGCTGGAGACAATACAGGAATTCCTGTCAATCCAGACTGTTCCAGCCAGCCCTGGCACCTCTTGCTTAGCTGTGACTAAACGCTAGCGCACAAAGCTGCACACTGCTTGAGCGGCCGCTTGCAATAATGCAGTCTGGGGACGGGGAAGGGATTTGCTTAGTTCGAGTTACTATGTTGGTTGTGTCCTAATTCTTTGTACTTTGAAAAGGGAGCTCTTAGGAGTGTCAGCTAACTTGATGGCAAACCAACACACTGGAGGGTCTGAGGGGTGGTATTGTCAGTGCCCATTAATGTCTTTATCACTAAACTCGAAGAAATGTTTATGCTTCCTCAATCATGTAGAAGATGCAAGGGAGGAGTTGAGAGAACAGGTATATAACGCCATGGGGGAAAAAGAAGAGGCCAAAAAGTCTGCGGAAGAGTCTCCAGCGCTACCCGAGAAGGAAATCAAACAGGAGGATGTTGAAATGAAAGAGGCCACGGAAGAAAAACCAACAGAAGAAGCAATTGCTGATAAGGATGTAAAGCCTGAGGAGGCTGAAGAGAAGATGGAGGTTTCTGTGGGAAAAGAAGTTCCTTCGGAATGTGGAGAAGGAGGCTGCGGAAGAGGAGGCGGAGGCGGCTGCGGAAGAGAAGGTAGTGGAAAAAGAGCAGAAGATGGTGCCTGAAGACAAGGTAGCGGAGGCAGCTGAGGAGAAGGTGAAGACAGAGGTGTTGGACAAGGAGGCAAAGGTGGCTGTGGAAGAGGCTGAAGGTGAGGAAGTGGCTGTGGAAGAGGCGGGAGAGAAGACAGCAGAAGCAACAGAAAAAGAGCAGGCTGTGGAAAAGAGAGAGGCTGTAGAAGGGCAGGCAGAGCCAGCTGTGGACGACAAGGCAGTTGCTGTGGAACAGAAAGAAGCTGCAGAAGGGGAAGCAGAGGCAGCTGAACAGAAGAAGGTGGAGGAGAAACAGGAGCCAGTAGAGGCAGCTACAGAAGTGAAACCAGATGAATCTATAGAGACAGAGTCCTCGAAGGAGCCTGTGCCCACAGAGGGCAAAGAGCCACCTAATGACGTGGAAGAAAAGGCTGGAATAGCTGCTAAGGTAGAGAAAGAGGAAAAGAAAGATGTCCTGATGGAAGAGGGTGAAGGTGCTAAGGTAGAGAAAGAAGACAAAGCTGACCTGATGGAAGAGGGAGAAGGTAATAGTGAGAGGAGAAAAGTACTTGTGGGTGGATGACTGGATTTGGCTAACAACGGGTAAAAAGTGTTCCATTCAGAATTTTCTGTTTGCCTTAGAGTAAGGAAAAGGCACAGTAAAGGGGATCTTGAAGGATTTTACATCCAAGTAACGTTTCAAGGAGTAGTGAATCGTCTCCCTTTGTCTAGACTAACGCTTAACTAACTGCAAAGCAAGTCTTAATTGAAAGCCAACTTACAGCCTTGTGAAACGTGTAAGTCATGGCTAGGCTGGTGGAGAATACTGAATGGATGGTCACTTGCATGCCTCTGGGGTTGTTGCACTAACCTTCAAATGACTCGAAGCACAGGTTGCCTCTGGTTTAACTGTAGCTTATTTGAAAACAGCGGAGCAGAAACTTAAGAACAGCTGGGTCCACCACAGAATGGTACATTTGCCTTGGTAGGGGCAGGGAACTCTCGGTTTGAGCCTTTCTGCTGGTAATTACAAGTGAGAATTTGCTTGGCAAATCTAAACTTAATCTGCCCTGGAACCTGAAGGCTTCTCTCTAGTACAGCCTTGCAGCTTTTTTTGCTTCCCTGCTTCACTACAGCTCTCTTCAGGGTTATGTATGTTCAAGTAACCTACTAAAGCTTGTACACCTTGACGTGCTACTTGCATGGTCTTAGTAGGCCAGTGCTTTTTGCTGCAGATTGATGAGCTGATAAGACTTGGTCAGTAACTCTGCTTCACAGGAAGAGCCTCACTACAGGAGTGTCAAATATTCTTTGAATACTGGGCACTGAAATGATTTGTACTGCTGATCCCAAATGCTCAGTGGTGGAGCAGCTGCCTAACAAGGTGTCTGTCTGGACAGAGTATGATTTGAACACAAACCACTGTGGAAAGGCTGTTACATATGCATCATGCTGCTTTTTTTCCCCCAACTCTGTTAGTGTGAGGACACTCTTGCACATCCTGGTTGTGTGTTGTGTCATTCCAGACTCCTCCCATTACTTAAAATTTAACTTCCTACCATCTTTGTTTAACCTTTGATCGAGCTGTCCTCAGACTTGCAGGTTTGGCCCTGTGGGTGGTAGGGATGTGCTTTTTTTTGGGAGCTAGACTGATGAGCTCACAGGCTTTCTAGTCTGCAACCCATCAAGCCCCTGTTACCTGGAATTCATCAGTGGTCATGATGTAGGGATTAAGTGTGTGACTTCGGTGTGCAAGTCTGGCAATGCTCTAAAGCTGTCGGCCGTGCCCCTTCACTGCACGCTTCCTCAGAACACTTCCTACAGGTAGGACAGATGCAATGCTCCTGCGCAGGCAGTATCAGAAGTCAGACAGTGCTACACACTAGCAGGTTCGTTAGTAAGGTTGCCACGTAGTTGCCTGACAGGAGGAATGCGGGTCCTGAAACAGCCCTGTGGTACAGCCTGGCAGCTATCTTGCTGAAAACGCTTTATCTGTAGCATGACCTCCAGCAGCTGACCAGAGCCCCCAGGGCTGCTCAGGATTCCGTGGCTTCTGTGGGAGCTCACAGGGCACTTCTGAGAGCTGAATTCTAGGTAAGTTCTGACTCTGATAGTGTGAGGTGCCTAAAGCAGTGACTAAGGTAGCCTGGAGCTGCGTCAGTCACAGTGCCCAGCGCTTTCAGCAAGATGGCTCCTGCTGCTGAGAACGTAACGTATCTGCGCTTCGTGCATCACACATCTAACCTCGCACGGGACGGCTGAGTATAACCCATGCTGCCTGACTCCATGTGAAAGTGTACTAACGATGGGGGTTCTCATTAATCTACTTTCCTTGTAGAAACAGAAGAATCTGAAGAGGAAGATAAAGAAAATGATAAAGCTGAAGATAAGGAGAATGAGTTGGCAATGGAAGACAAGGTGAGATTGCTGAGCTCCGATACCAGTGCTCATGGAGTGTAGTTCATAGAATTATGGAATGGTTTGGGTTGGAAGGGACCTTAAAGACCATCCAGTTCCAACCCCCCTGCCATGGGCAGGGACACCTTCCACTAGACCAGGTTGCTCCAAGCCTCATCCAGCCTGGCCTTGAACACTTCCAGGGATGGGGCATCCACAGCTTCTCTCGGCAACCTGTCCCAGTGCCTCCCCACCCTCTCCGGGAAGAACTTCTTCCTGATGTCCAATCTAAACCTCCCCACTTTCAATTTAAACCCGTTACCCCTTGTCCTGTCACGACAGGCCCTTGTAAAAAGTCCCCCCCAGCTTCCTTGTCGCCCCTTCGGGCACTGGAAGGTGCTATAAGGTCTCCCCGGAGCCTTCTCTTCTCCAGGCTGAACACCCCCAACTCTCAGCCTGTCCCCATAGCAGAGGTGCTCCAGTCCTCGGAGCATCTTTGTGGCCTCCTCTGGAGTCGCTCTAACAGATCTATGCCCTGGATTATGTTGGGGGACCCAGAGCTGGATGCAGAACTGCAGGTGGGGTCTCATGACAGTGGTGTAGAGGGGGAGAATTGCCTCTTGTATGGTAATTACACTTGTGTTTCATTTAGTCCCATATAGGAAATTACTCTTGAAAACCAGGATTGCCTAAGGAAGGGGCAGTGTTACATGTAGTCTGTGCTGGGGGGTCTTGTTCTGTTCAGTAACTGTGTATCCTCTGCTGTGTGTTTATTGTTTGGCTGTGCATGTTGAATGCACCCAGTCCAGTGAGCCATGATAAGGGAATTCAGTGGAAAGTGTGGTGCTGCTTAAATCTGAGGTGTTATGTGGATGTAGCAGTCAAAGCTCCTGGGATCATGCGGGGCCTGTCAGGGTGTGGTACTAACAGTGCTAGACAGGTGCCTTGAGTCTCTTTCTCCGAGTGTTTAAACAAAGTCCAGAAGCTCACTTCAAAAAGGGGAACACCAACCCCTTAACTTCTGGTTCATCTACACAGCATCTTAAAACATTCTTCTGGGGATAATGCTGATGCTCAGTGCTCTCACATTTCTGGAAGGAAGATAAGGCCAAACCAGGTAGTGATTGTAAGCACAGGTTTCCCTTAAAGCTTCTTCTCTGCAGGGGTGTTGGTTGCTGCAGTGACCTCTTCTGCATGTTCCTTCACTTTCCTTCTCCTGGTAAAGCGTTTAGCTCTTGAAGAAATGTACTCCGTGACAGTACGGCTTAGAAACACGGTGGTGTTTGGGGGATACTTAACCTTTTGTGCGTTCCTCGTCTTTGCAGGAAAGTGAGGAGGATGAAATTGGGAATCTTGAGCTGGCCTGGGACATGCTGGAGTTGGCAAAAGTCATCTACAAGAGGTAAAGACGAGGCCTGTTGGGGTACGCGCCGGAGAAGAGGATTGTAACTGGGGGGTGGCATAAGCAGTTGGTAAATGGGGCGTGGTCAGAACAGGAGTTGACAGCTAACTTTTGTTCCTGATTTAGACAAGACACGAGAGAAGCTCAGCTCCACGCAGCTCAAGCTCACCTGAAGCTGGGAGAAGTTAGCATTGAGTCAGGTAAGCGTGAGCAATTCTCACGTACACAGGGTTAGCTTCCACTTTCACTGTTTTGTGTCTGAAATGAGCGGAGGGGAGTTAATGTGGAAGCAAAATAGACTTGGTCTGGTTAGGGTAGTGCAGCTGTGTGAGAAGCTTTGGAATCAACAAATGAGCAACTTTGTGCCTTAAACAGGGTAGCCCGTGCTTTTACAGAACAGGGAATGAATGAAAGCTTTGGGTGGGAAGTGATGTGTTACCGGATCAACACCAGCCTGTTCCCTGCTCGATGGGCAAGGCTTGGTTGGCTGCTGAAGCTGGGGGGAGACTTCCCTCACAGAGGTAGCGAGTCCCCGAGCTTGTAGGAGGGGTCAGAACTGTGCTGCTTCCAGAACACAGACTGCAAACGAGAACTGGCTGACTCTTGGGCTCTCCGGTGCTAGGGAATGATCAGGAGAGACTCACGTAGCAGAAAAAAGGAATGGGAAGCGTGTTAGTGTGTCTCACCTGCCCTTCCCTTAAAGCAACGTCTTGTTGAAGCCATGTAGAGTGCAGTTCTCCCTGCATGGGGAGTAGTCCGAGAGCACCAGGGCTCCAGAGTCGCTGGAACACCTTTGGTGGAGAGCTTGACCAAAAGCAGCGGGGGACTGTCCCCCGCCCCAGATCCAAGTTGCAGGAGTGAGCGGTTAGGTGCAGCTCCTGGCAGCAGGTGGAATGGCAGGATTTGCGTCCCTGGTTTTGACTTGGCTGCTGCGTCGCTGCAAACTAACAGAGGTGCTGGAGTAACTGGGTGCTGAGCAGTCGTTGGGGTGGGCAGTGGTCATCTGAAAGCAGCCTCTGGCAGCTCCACGGCTGAGCTCGGTGCTGGGGCTGTTGCAGGCTCTGTGAGGCATAACAAGTGATGAAACAACCGAACAAGGGTTTGGGTCTGGGTTGGGTAAATGGGTGCGGCTCCTCAAGCCCCGGCGGCTCTCTCCTACAGAAAACTACGTGCAGGCGATAGAGGAGTTCCAGGCCTGCCTGGCGCTGCAGCAGAAGTACCTGGAGGCTCATGACCGGCTGCTAGCGGAGAGCCACTACCAGCTGGCGCTGGCCTACCACTACAACAGCCAGTTCGACGAGGCCGTCCTGCAGTTCGGTAAATCCATGGAAGTCATTGACAAGAGGATGGGTAAGTGGATTCCTGGCACTGCCTAGCAGGGGGGAGCTCGCTGGTCTGAACACAGCGATGGGGCGGCGGGATTGCTGAAATGGGGCGTGTTGGCCGATGCGTGTCCCTGGGTGTTGGTATCTGGGCGGCTGGTTTGTCAGGAGGTGTCTCACCACGGTAACCGTCTCGTCCTAGCCATGCTCACGGAGCGAATGAAGAAGGCAGAGGGCGGGTCCCCTGAGGATGAGAAGGAGATTGAAGAGCTGAAGGGGCTGCTCCCTGAAATTAAAGAAAAGATAGAAGATTCAAAGGAGTCTCAAAAGAGCGCGAGAGTAGCTGAGCTGGCGCTGAAGGCAACTCTGGTCAGTGTGTCCTCTCACCCAGGGGTTCTCGGCTGGCACCTGAAGTGAAGCAGCAGTGGGGGGAGCTGGGGTGGGGTTACACAGAGCGGGGGCTGGCGGCTGGTCATGGGGTGTCCCTGTGAGAAGGAAACTGAGGCAGCTGACACCTGAAGAGGAGAGGGTGTTCAGTGAACACCCTGATGCGAATCGTTCCAGGAATTTGCTGGTCTTCTGTAGCAGCTCAGTGTGGTGGGGCTGGGTGTTGTGGAGCAGGGTGCTGAGCATGCGGAGTTGGGGTTTCCGTCCCTTTCTCTAAACTAGCACCTGTCATCTTGCCAGAACTTGCTCACTGCTTCCTCTGCTTTTCCAAAGGTTGGAACCACGTCGGGCTTTGCACCAAGTGAGGACAGCGGCTCCGTTTCCACCGTAAGTCAGAGATGGGTGTTGGTAGCTCCTGCCTGCTGGAAGTGTTACCACTGGCCGCTACTCACGTGTCGGTGTCTTGTAACAGATTCCTGTAAGGAAAGCGGCCGATGGTGCATCTCAGTGTGTCACGGACATCTCCCACCTCGTCAGGAAAAAGGTGAGGCTGCGAACGGTGGGCAGAGCCAAGGGTGTGTTGGAGAGCTGCTGCTCTGCTCTCTCTAAGCGGGTTTCCTGCCTGGGAGCTGCATCTTCACGCGGTTCTGTAATGGGAAAGCAAACCTGGAGACAGTGCGTGGGACCCCTTTCCTGTAGGGCCCATCCAGCCTCCCGGGGACTAGTCCCCATGTGTCGGCACCCTGCCTGGCAGAACTTCCGCAGGGTGTGGTGTGGTTTTCCAAGCTGCCCCCTCCGCCGGGAGCTGCAGGGTGGCCTGCAGGCCTTGAAGGGCAAGGGCTGGGGCTGAGCCGGGCTCCCTGGTGGAGCAGAAGAGGAGAACGGGACCCAAATAGCCCCTCGCTGGGGCGATGCAGGTGCCTGCGGTTCCTGTAAAGCCACGGGGGTTTTCTGAGCTGCTGCAGATACAACTGCAACTCCCCCGACGCGCTCTTCGTGTGCGTTCTGCGCTGCTGTGGCGCGGCCTGGCCTGGCTCAGACCTTACAGACGTGAGCTCGGCTCTGGTGTGCCCGGAGCAACTCCCAATCCGCTGCGCAGGCTGATGGTGAGTGGCGGGAGTATGCCCAGCCCCCCCGTCTGTCGCCTGGCTCCGCAGTCCCGTGTCTCCCTGCCGGGCTGTACGGAGAACCCAAACCGCCCCGCAGCGGTGGAGCCCTGCTCGTGTCTTAGCCCTTCAGTGTCCGCCTTGAACCGGGCGAGTGGGGCTGAGCCGAGACGCTGTGTGGGGCAATGCCTCAGCGCCAGCTTGATGTCAAAAACTAATTAAACCTTAACGTGTACCCTGCGTAGACTAAATGATTTTGTCCTCAGAGGAAACCGGAGGAGGAGGCTCCGCAGGGGGACAACGAAGCTAAGAAATCCAGACCGGAGCCGGCTGTCAATGGTGCTGCTGCTGCTCCCAGTGGGAATGAGGTGGCAGAAAAAATGGAAGAGGAGGTGGGCAGCTGAGCCCGGAGTCTGGGCTGTGTGTGTTTGGGCCTGGGCTCGGGCTGGGGCTGTCGCCACCGGCCTTCACCCAGCTTCCCCCCGCCATGGGGAAGGGGTGTTGTGCCACGTAGTCCGACCCTGCGGGGGCTGGAGGGACTGGCTGCCCGTGGGGCGGGATGGAAGCACAGTGGGGTGGTGTGGAGCTCCGGAAGCTGGTTGCGTGTGGAAGTGTGGGCCTGCTGCAAGAGCAGTGGGGCCTGCACAGCTGGGTCCTGTCCTGTTAAACCCTTCTCTTCTCTTCCAGACAGAGATAAGGCCGCAGGCGGAATCGGGGGCTGCAGTTGAAAGCACAGTATGATAATTCTTTAACCTCGGACACTCCTCTCCTTACAAGGAAAATGGTTTTGTATATAGTGTATTTTTTCACTTTTTGGCAACTTTTGTATGACTTCAATAAAGATTGTAAGCAAATACTCCCTGTCTTGGCTTTCCTCCTGCTCCTGGCTCTGCTCCATGCTGTCCCCTGCCCTGTTTCCACCCAGCTCTGCCTGCTGGGCGGGGGGGGGGGCACAGACGCTGTGCTCATGGCTTGGCTGGGTTGGGCTTCCCC